TATCAATCGTTTTTTCTGAAATGACCTTTTAAATTGATAAACATAATAAGCCAAACCTTATCTAAATACAAAATTTTATCTAAATTGTTAGAGCCGTTTCTAAAATACACGAAATAAATTTATATATAAATATATATATATATATATTTATATATATATATATATATATATATATATATATATATATGTATATATATATGTATATATATACACAAGAATTACTCATTTAATATTATAAGACAATAAGACAAATTGCCATTAGATTCTTTAAATGCGTGACTACATTTTCACTATTGAACGACGAAGAAAATTTTATTTAAATTCAAACTTCCTATATGTGAATACTATTGATAAAGCGAAGGTACACTAATTTTCTAGTCAAATATATTCAGCGAGTTGAACTCGCGATGTGGGACGAGCGAGTAAACACCGTTTGGATGCCGCTCAAACCTAATTGACGTTATGGGTTCTTTTAAACTCACGTGCAACGTTGTTATTGCAATCGATTAGATTTGATGGTTTAAATCTAACATGGTGGTGATGGATTAACTGTTATAATGAAACTTAAGATAGTTTGCCTCCTGATTTATAAAAATGTTTAACGGTTATAATAGGTATAGGTTTTTCGGAGATGAGATATTTTCCCGCAGTAAAAATTATCCTATATGTTGACCCGGATAACCAGCTATTATCATACCAAATTTTATCAAAATCTGTCCAGCGGTTTTCTCGTGATGCCTTCCCAGACAGAGAGACAAAAATATTAAAAACTAGATTCGGCTTCTGTATAATAAATAATATATAATAATGATTATTTCAATAAGATTTTTCAAAAAATATTTTATGTACAGATTGGACTCAGAATTTTATTATAATATGTATAGATTCCATATCTTTTTGTAACTATCATAATGTCACACTATCTAGTCAATTACTTATTACTTATTCTGTATTCACAAAAAGTTCAACTTCTTGAATAAGTAAGTTGGAACGAACCGCTGAACTGAACGAAGCGACGGTGGGTCGCTAGTTTTAAATAAAACTATCTTTTCGGACTATTTCGCGGATTTATTTTGATTTTCGGTTCCAGGCGTTTCGAATGCTTTACTTACAGCAATCATGGTCACGAGACAAACCGTCTCGTCGAAATTTGAAGAGATGTTTTTATTTAAAATACATATAGGTATGTAAAGTAACATTTAATTGTCATAAAAAAATCAAGCCAATTAAAACACGAATATTTTGCATCTATATTTCACTCTCAAATTAAAGTGCACCGCTTCCATATGCTACGTCTACTTAATTCAAAGCTACGTACATATTACTTGAATAAAGCTAGAGCTTGTACCGGAAATGACGTCAGGAATTTGTGATGACGTCAGATTAACTCTTTCGGGAAATTAAATTACGAGAAGTGAGAACTCTCACGAGGATATCAAGCCGGGAACATTAATTGATGCCTAAATACGTTTCGCATTGGCTTTGTTTTGTAGTTGGTATTGCTTATGATTGTAGAAGGTATAAGGGATGTATGTATGTACATAGCTAATATAAGGTCGTCCTTTTTTATTTTTATCTGTGGTGATGGAAGTGGAACATGAATGTATATAAATGTTTAATAAACTGCCTTTTGGCCTCGGCTCTCGCTTAGTACCTATCTTGGTTTGAATCCACCGCTCTAATTTTTGTAGAATGATGCGCATGTGAAAAATCGCATAGAAAAATCACGAGTAAAATTTAATCAAGCAACTTAATCATCATCCTTTTTTCTATTGTCATCACATTTCTACGAGTATATACACGCAGGAGTAATAAAAAGGTTTTTTTAGATTGTTAAGAATTATTTAAAAACTTTTCAATGCATTTTGGGACAGTATGTCAATACTCGAAGTCGCTGTGGACGTTTTGTCGCCTTTAGCTCCACTATCCTGACTGTTTGACGCTGAGTTCCAAATTCCAATGTAGTAAGAGAAAAGTATTATTATTGTTATAAGCTTCGTCGGTATATAATGACAAGTTAAAAGCGCCATCTGCCTTACCTGAAATTGTTACCGTTACATGTGAATGCATAAACTAATAGCTCTGCAGTGTTTCCCTGATCGGTGTTAGGCGCGAATGCAGCAAATCCTTCCCTTGCTTAAATAAATGTCCAAATAAAGCTCTTTATCTTCCCTAATCTTCTAATTTGAGCTTTTCAAAGCCTGCCAAGAATAGGTTTAAGGACGAATCTCTAAAGCTTGCAAGTTCATTAAGCTTTATCATTATTTTACAAATTTCATTAAAAGTCTAGATTGTAGCCCGTATCAAATTTGATTAATTAAAACTTGGATGATACATACCTATTACTAAACTATATACTTTGTATAATTATTAATTATTGTTGAAATATGACTAAACTAAACATTTTTTTAATTGTTCTACATGTGTCTGCAGCTTTTCCCCGTATTTTTTATTATTAAATCTTTATACAATATACATATACTGTATACGTGGCTTTTAACCTGAATCATTAAATGTAACTTATGAATTTGATCTAGACCTGAAGAATAAGAGGTAATCTATATAAATAAAAATGAATCACCGAAATGTATGAACGCGCATAGCTTCCGATCGACTGCACCAAATTGGATGATTCTTTTTTTTGTGTTTGTAATTTATTGTCAGGAAGTTTTTTATAGAAGAAATTTAAAAGAAAAAAAAAGTTTTTTGTACTAAAATAAGATCTTTTTTAATTTCATGACAAGTGAGTGAAATAGTTTTTATCCCGGAAATCATCCCTTAAGGGGGTGAGAATCGAGATGAAAGTTTGTTTGGGGAAGCAAGCTAAGGACGAACCCGAGCGGAGCGAGGGTGAGTAGCTAGTACATTATAATTTTTAATCAACAATATTCCAAAGTTATGCCGCTTTTTTGGTAGTAATATTTTGGTGACCAATAATATGATTATGTTAAATGCATAGAAGATTTGAACTTTATATAAAAAAATATTTAAATTCGTTTTTATTTCATCATAATATGAATTATTAGGGAGCCCGATGAAATGTCCCATTGGTAATATGAACAGAATCTTAAGCATCAATTTCCATCAAAAATCTAACTTCAAAAATGATTTTCAAAAACGACGCTCACCTTAATATATGTACATATTATGTATCTTGTGTGCTAAATTTAATTCTTTAACATTTAGCGTCAGTGATAAGAATTTTATATGATAGACTAGCGTTGCCCGCGGCTGCGCCCGCGTTCAAATGACCAAAAACCAAATTCTTAGGCTTTACATATTAGTTTACTCTTACATTGCAGTTTTTGTATTTTTCTCAGAAATGAGACATTTTTCCGCGGTAAAAAGTATCCTACTTATATGTTGACCCGGATAACCAGCTATCACCATACCAAATTTCATCGAAATCCCTTCAGTAGTTTTTCTGTCATGCGGTAACAGACAGACAGACAAAAATTCCAAAAACTGTACATTCGGCCTCTGTATCGATAATAATGTTTATTTCAATAAGATTTTCCAAAAAATATTTAATGTACAGATTCGGCTTAGTTGCAATTTCATTGTATAACTTTGGCGTTCAATCATTTGACTTCATTTTGTTATTTAGTAAATATATGTATAACCGCATATACTCGTAGTGTCTAAACAATACAATATGTGCCTAAGCATGAAATATTTCCGGTTTCGTATCCTCGCGGGAGTTCCGCTAATTCAGTCTCAATTCCCCAAAAGAGTTAATTTGATGTCATCACAAATTCATGAGGTCATTTCCGCGACGAGCCCTAGTAATATTCAGGTAATATAGATATATCATATATGTATGTATATACGTCGTTTTAGGTAGATATCGAAGTGACATATTGTAATATTATAAGTCAACTAGCATTGCCCGCGGTTCCGCCCGCCTTCAGATGACCAAAAAGCAAATTCTTAGGTTTTACATATAAGTGTACTCTTACAATGCAATTTTTGTATTTTTTCTCAGAAGTGAAATATTTTCCCGCGGTAAAAGGTATACTATATGTTGACCCGGATAACCAGCTATCACCATACCAAATTTCATTAAAATCCCTAAAGTGGTTTTTCTGTGATGCGGTAACAGGCAGACAGACAGACAAAAATTGTAAAACTTTAGATTCGGCCTCTGTATCGATAATAATGTCTATTTCAATTAGCTTTTCCAAAAAAATTTTAATGTACAGATTCGACTTAGTTACAATTTTATTGTATGTATTAAATTTCAATGTTAAATATAGTACATACCAATATACCAAAAGCAGTACAGTGTATTGTATAGATAGGGGCTACGGCGATTGAATTCACCGCGAGAGGGTGCTAGTGTAGAGTGAGGTCGCCAGAAATGTCAAAAGGTATTGAATGTATACTGCTTGCGAGCTTTTTAACGCGGATTTTCACTAATATTCATGATTGTAAAGATTGTGCCATTCCTGATTAATTATGGTAGACACGGTACAACAAAACTTATTCGTTTAATAGAAGAGTTAAGGAAAAGTCAATATTTTATTTATTTGGTTATGATTAATTATTTAAAATCCTGATAGAACTGTTTTCGCCCTAAAATAATAATTATTATATTAAATTTATTGCTCCTGCCGCACTAATAAATACTTTTCAACGACAGCGATAGGACCCCACTCGCCAGTGGCGCCAACTGGTGTTGCCAGAAACAATATTCCTCTTTAGTATCTTTTAAAATGTTACCATAGAAATTATAATTTCAACGTATGAGTAATAGTAAAAATCTTTTAACTTTATGAAGTTTCCAACAAAATTGCTTAGGTCATATATTTCTATGAGCTGGACTCTCGCTTGCGATATCCATTAGAGATCTTCATCACTGCATTTCAAATTAAAAACAAAAATAAGTAAAAGATAATTTCATTATATTTAAAATATATATTGATATTACAAAGTAATATATTTTTATACAAAATTGATTGACTTTTTAGGAAAATTCATTATGTGATTTTAAATATTTATGGGAACTTAAGGTCACTGTTTTTAAGATGTTTCTCAAAATATTCTTCAGCTTCCTGTCGCATTTCTTCAGTGTCAAAGTAGTTCACCCAGTTTCCAGACTTACCTATAATGAAATTAACCAGGATAATATTAACGTGCAAATCAGTCAAAATAGTAAAGAAAAGCGAACAATGTAGTCGATATGATCTCTTTGTTATTTAGAGAAAGAGTGTGAAAATAAAAACATTTAGTTTTTAAATAGTTTTTTTTTTTATCAATTTATTGTTCAAGTTAAGGACAATAAACTTGTTATATCTTCTGTACAACACAAGTAAAAATTTACTTCTATTTAACGATGCATGAAATATTGAAAAGCCAACAAATACTATCTCCACTCATTTGTATAAATATTATAAGTGTGAAAGTCTGTGGGTATGTATGGATATTTGATACTCTTTCACGCCAGAACGGCTGAACGGATCTGGATGAAATTTGGCACAGCGATAGATTATAGTCTGGAATAACATATAGGCTACTTTTTATCCCGGAAAATATACGGTTCTCGAGGGATCCATTTGTTTTTGTTTTTCTAGGGGCAAACCCGAGTGAAGCTAGGGTGAGCCGCTAGTACTATCAATATATGTAAGTAAGCCTTAAACAAAGACCTTCATCATAATAAATTAAAATACCACAAGTGTTCACTGGACTTTATGTTAGCTAAAATTAAATCGATTGCAAAAACAAGACCAGTTAAAAGGAACCTTAACGTCAATTAGATTTGAGCGGCATCCCAACGGTGTTTACTCGCTCGTCCCACATCGCGAGTTCAACTCGCTGAATATATTTGACTAGAAAATTAGTGTACCTTCGCTTTATCAATAGTATTCACATATAGGAAGTTTGAATTGAAGTATTTTTTTGTAAGTTTGTGACATGTAAGTAGGATTAGTATAATTTTGTAAAATCGTATTAGAATCTATGGCTGATTGCAATTCAGCTTAATCTAACAAATTTTGGGACGCAGAAATATATATAATACTAGCAGAACCCGCGTCGCTCGCTCTAAAACTACAAAAATATCTCTAAAATGGTAGGTATCTTAGTTTCATACACACTTTCATCATCTATTTTAACCCCTTACAGGAGGAATTTCGAAAAATGCTAAAACACGTATTTATTTATGTTGAAGACCATTAATACCAAGTTTCGAGTAATTCTGATCATAAATATTTTTTTTGGGTTGTATTATAACGTGTTTTCCCGTGGGAATGAGATAATATCCCGCGGTAAAAAGTAGCCTATATCACTCTTTAACTCTCCAAATATCTTCACACTAAAAATCACGCCAATCCGTGATTCCGTTATCGCATCAACAAACAAACACACTTTCACATTTATAATAATATTTTAATAAATACTTGCTTATCAGACATTTTTAACGCTGATATCTACTGATTAATGAATGGATTAGAATAAAAGAATAATCACCTTTTCTTAAAAATTTCATTTCTGAATCTTTATCATCTGATTTACCAAATTTAAAATTTGAAGATTTCTTCATATTTTCAAAAGTAAGATGTTCCGCTAGCTTGTTTTTTTGCTCGTCTGTGTACGTCTTGCCGAGGAATGCCGATACTTTGTCTATTACGCTACGGAGGCTCTGGAAAATAATTTGATTATTTAAAAGAATACAATGTACCTATTGTGTGTTTTATATTAGTTTCTGATAGAATTCCTGTCGCATGAAGTAGGTGGGAAATACAGAATTCAGTGCAGATCTTATGTTTTGGTATAGTAAATCTAGCGTCTTTTCATTTTCTATAAAACACACGTGTATCTAAAATTTGTTTGTTCGTCGTTTTCGAGTTTGTTTCACTTTAATTTCAGATTTCAATAAAACTTTTAGTTCATAGCTTTTTTATCTCTGTTAGATTATAGATATATTATCATTTTAAATAGATTAATAAGTCGCTCTATATAAAAAAGGAGAAAGAGAGGAGAGTTACCTTTTGCATTTCTTCATAGAACAAAAACATCATGTTGGGATGGTCGCGGACTGCCCAGGACTCTTTGATGTGTGGGAATATGGGCATGTGCATTACTGTAAACATTATTGTAACAAATAATAATTAATTAGTGTAAGCTCAGAATAAGGGCACAATTTGCAAAATATTTGACTTTCAACCATTTTTCAGTCATTAAGGAGTTTCAAACTTTTTTAAAGTAGTATTATTTTACTAAAAGCTAAAATTATGAAAAATAAACTTAACCTTTTTAAGGTATTTACCTTTTTATTACATGTATATCTAATAATTTTAAATTTAAACCTCAATATTTTGTCAATAAAATAAATTTACAATAAAGAATTCTCAAAGTGAATACTATTCTAAAATATTACGGCGGGAATCATCAATAGGTACGAGTATATTAGAAATAAAATCCGCCCCCGAATTTTGTATGAGCTTAAGATATTTCGAATTGTTTTGAAGGCCTCAATTAATAGTTCTGCACTTTCGATTCGACTTTCGTGGTGCGATGAAAACTATCTGCATATCTTGAATTTTCAAGGAAGCAGTGAACACTTTGATATTATCGTAATGCAGATTGAAAAAGTTTGCAAGAAGTAAATTGGACCTTTAAGTATAAGACTCAAATAAATACTTACATAAATCTTTCTTAAATAGTTCCCAGAATTCCTTAAACTCCACCCGTTCGTCGAAGTATCCGAACAATTTGTGCATGAAGTGGAATGAAACGGCAACGTCGCGGGGATCTCTAGCTATGTAAAGAACCTAAAAACGTTGCTTTATATTGGTTGTATATTTTCATTTAAAACTATATATATATATATATATATATATATATATATATATATATATATATATATATAACTGATTTTGAAATAGGAGTGTATTTTTTGTGTATATGCTACGCGATATCTATGATTTAACTATTTTTTTTTTAATTTCCCATATATGTACATTTTAGGAATGATTACCACATTATTACTTTTAAGATAAAATGTCGATGTACTTTTATAAATAAAAATTATTTGGGCAATGCCCAAATAATGCCCATTGGGCGTTTGGATTTTATTAATAGATTGATTCCCTGTACAAACTTTCATCCCCATTTTCACCCCCTATTAAGGAATAATTTCCGGGATAAAAAGTATCCTATTACCTTCCCAGGGTCCCAAACTATCGTCTCACTTAATTTCATCTAAATAGGTTTAGTAGATTCAGAGATTATCCCCTACAGCGTCACAAATTCACAAACAATACCTCTTTTTAATATTAGTATAGACAAGACTTTGTAATAACAATAATATCTATACACTAGGTATATTATTAAAATTATATATTTAACATTTCCTGGATATTTTTATAAGTAGACATGAATTACTAGTTTTTGACTGCAGCTTTGCGTAATTCTCACGGAAATTTCTTTTCTTTCCCAGGATAAATATAAGTCTATGAAATATGCTAGTGTTTGAATTAATTATCTAACAGCCGGGTAAATCCAAATAATTAAATTAATTTTGTATCGTATAACCATATGAATAAATGAATGTGGGTTACCTATTTTGAAATGAGATATTAAATTTTATTTATAAGTAAGTGTGGATTCTATACCTTGGCAGTATCGAGTAACTTAGGTGGTAACAGAGATAAAGGCAAGTGAGTTTTGACAAAACGGGGCGAAGGCAGCGTGTGAAAGTTTCTAAAGTCGTCGACAGTGGCTCTCTGCCCTGGTTTGCCGGCGGGCGGTTCATTTTTCTTAACTTCAGATTCCAACGTCGGATATCTGTAAGAAATAATACCTTAGTTAAATTTATTAAGGACATTTTTAGATGTAATAAATGTAAAATATGACAAATATCATACGAATCTTAATACATAGTGTGTACTTTACTTCACACTGGATTTTGTTCTTGTCCTGTTTTTGAAGTTTGTCAAAACGGGATAAGACTTGTAATGGACGAAAAATGAATTTGTGACCTCTATAAGTAAGGCTACTTTGTATTCGTGAATCTAGTTTAAAAATATAGTGGCGATACTCACTCAATAAAAGCATAACGTTTGGTAAGTGAATTGGAGGAAGCGTGTTCATAGTCGAGGTTGTTAGCAAGCATCCACACAAGCTCTTGAAGCCATGTTGTACCTGAAAAATAGGAAAATTATCGTTTCTGAGAAACTTTATTTAAATACTAGCGATTCTTCCTCGCTCCGCTAGGGTTCGTCCCTAGTTACGTTTTAATGTTTAGTATAGATTTCTCAGAAATGAGATATTTTCCTGCAATAAAAAGTAGGTATTCTATATGTTGACCCGGATAACCAGCTATCATTATATCAAATTGCATCAAAATCTGTCTAGTGGTTTTCTCGTGATGTAGTCACAGACAGACAGATAGACAAAAAATCAATAAAACTATAGATTCGGCCTCTGTATCGATAATAATGACTATTACAATAAGATTTTCCAAAAAATATTTAATGTACGGATTCGACTTAGAATTAGATTATATGTATAGATTTTTGTAGTCAATTCACTTGAAAATGAAAAGTTTTTAGGATATTTTGCTTAATTAATAATTTTTTTGCCCCGTATTGATCCACATCTTAACACTTTTTTAACTTATCGATTATTTTGCTAGCGGTTCTAAGTATTTCGTCGAAATGAAAAGTACAACCTCTTAAAGGCGTGTCTCTCCTTAGTCATCTGTAAATTAAGAAGCAAATTACCAAATTACCTGATCGGGAAAAAGAAATCACCCATATATCGTCAGGTCTGACTTCTAAGTTATATATATCCGCAGCATGGTCGCCATACGCCGCCATTGAGAAGTACCCATGTGGACCCACACGGACAAATGGACGTATGTAGTCTGTAATAACATAACAGAAAGAAAGTTTGAAAAGTCATGATATGTATACAATGTTTATTAATTAAAATTTAATTAATTTTAACAGCCTCGGTGGTGTAGTGGCTAGCATTCGAGTCCCGGGTCGGGCCAAGTTTAGTTATTGAGTCTTTCTGTATATTAAGCGTCAATAATAGCCCGGAGTTGGGTAGTTGGCGGTGTTTCACCCCCGTGCCTCGAAGAGCACGTAAAGCCGTCGGTCCTGCGCCTTAACTCTCACTGGTCGTGTCGAGCAGTCGTCCTACCGGAGTATGAGAGTGACAGGAATAGAGAGTGCACGTTGTGTCTGCGCGTACACTTGAGCACTATAATATCTCCTGCGCAGTTGGCTAGTCTCAATGAGATTGGCGGCCGTGGCCGGAATCGGTCAGGAGAAGATCACATCACTATCATTAATTAAAATTAATAAGCGTAGAAAACATGGGAAATTTCGTAAGAGCGTTTTAAAAATAAAATAGCGTCATCTAGTTTGTGTTTTGTTCCATGAAACTAATTATATTGATAATTGTAGGTTATAAATTTTAACGTGTTTTTCAGAGGGAAGGAGATTTTTTCCGTTGTAACTTAAAGAAACCTCACCATCAGTCTTCTAACTTTCTACATACAAAAACTAACATCAATTCGTCACTCCGTTTCGACGTGCAAAAGGACAAAACAAATAAAAAACAACTATAATAATATAAAGTATAATAATATATCTAGGTCTCTGTCAGTTTATTGACGCAGGACAAATGAACATACATTTTTGCATTAAAAATATTAAAGATTTTACTTTGATTATTATCTTTCCTGATTTCACTATTAGATGACACCTCTGCTGACAAGCCTCGTATTTTACTGTGCTTTTATGTGATAATACTAGCGACTCGCACTCGCTTCGCTCGCCCATTTTCACCTCCTTAAGGAATGGTTTCATGGAAAGTAAACTTGCGATTTATGGTGAAAATCCACGAAAATAAATAAATAAATTAATTTATTGTATACAAGTGACACACCTATATTTGTTTACGTTTCGTTTTTGAAGTGAAACTTCTTTGCGCGCATGAGAGTAAAATTTCAAGGTCGTGTCACGACAAGTCATCACGAAAAAAAACTTTCTTTTCATATATACAAAATATTTATAACTAGAACTAGAGGTTGACCCCCGCTCCGCTCAGGTGCAGGCCCTTCCCCCCCCCCCCCTCAACGTGCGTTCACCTTGTCGTGGTGGGGGGGCTCAGTAGTGCCCGGCAATCCAACCGGGCGCGAAGCTAAGAAACGCACAGGGAGGTTGCCCACTTCGGTGGGCGGTGGGAGGTGGCCCTCTTCGGGGGGCGGGGTACCATGCGGGTTGCTCCTGGTACTTCTCTGATAGCAGAGTGGACCTTGGAGCAACCCCATGGTTGTGGTGGTCTGCTTCGGCAGACCTGCCGTCGGGGCGTCGTAGTTGAATGCGTAAGCGATCCTGCGACGCCCCATTAAGACGGGGGAAGGTTTTGTTGGATTTAAGTGGGTTGTACTGGTTGTATTACGTCGGTGAGGCCCCACGTCGTGTGTAAATGCATTTCCCAACGTTAAAAAAAAAGGTGCAGGCCCTTGGAGTAAATGCGATAGACGTAAGAATCCAGCTAGGTAGAAACAGATAAAATATTATTATCTTTTCTTTGTGTGATACTTGTTGGTTGTTGGTAATATTAAAAGTTTTTATTTTTATTTTATTTTCGACACGTTTGGCTCAGTTGGTAGTGACCCTACTTGTTGTGCCAGCGGTCGCGGTTTCGAGTCCCGCTGGGGCCATTCATTTGTGTGATGAGCACGAATGTTTGTACTCCAGTCATGGGTGTTTATTTATAATATGTATGTATTTAAAAAAAAGTTACATATGTGTAGTGTATCTACTATCTAGTATCCATAACACAAGCCTCGTTATATATCGCCATAGTTTACTATGGAACTAGATGGCGCGGTTTGTTAATGTCCCAACATATTTATTCATTAATCTAGAGTTTAAATATAAATAACCAACGAAGTTTCATTTTAAACACGCTTTCATAGAAACTGGATTTTTTGGTCATATGAGTGTTTGGAAACGTGACAGGTTAAAAATAAAATAAAAATAGATTTAGGTGAAAATATTTTAAAGCAAACTCATGAATAATAAATCTATTTCGTAGAATTTTACATAGCAAAGCGTTTACCACAACCTTGTAATATAAACTAATCTTATAGCGAACCGCCGTATCGCGGCATTATGACAATAATTTCGTGTGCAGCGACGTGAACGAAAATTGGATATTTCGAAGGACATTGGGTTGTGAAATTGAGCTAAAATCGGAGAGTAAGCCTTCTCTACAGCGCCTGAATACGTTGACTTTAAAATATTTGATATATTTTTTTATTATGAAAAATATTTTTCCATTCTACTTTTACTGGTGGTTGAAAAGGACGAAAACTATTTTTGCAATGAATACCCTTACTTTATTTATTATTTTCTCAAATAAAATTCTCGAGGTAATTAAGGGATGTTAACAAACCACCAAAGTCGAGTATCCTTGTTTGGTTATCTTGTATTGACATAATAGATTTTTTTAAATCAAATTTATGTAAAATCAAATCTAATAACAAGTAACATTAATTATTCAAAGATGACTCGAGTATAGGAGTTTTTTTTAAATGCCTAATATTGGTAAAATTGTTCAAGTTTTTTTTAAATTTGAAAGCTATTCAACTGATAGAAATACCTTTGTAATACTTTTTCGCTATCTTATCTTCTTCATCGGTCACCTTTTTGATTTCATGTGGAAACGGTAAATTGGCTGCCATTATTATCTGAAAATAAAGAAAAATAAATACACTTAACCTATATAGATAAAATAAATGTTTCTAGATGCTATTTATTACTTAATCGTAAAATAATAAATAATAATAATAATAAATAAATTATGTTGGGACACAACACACAGCACTATCGTGTTCCATAGTAAGCTACGAGGCTTGTGTCATGGATACCAGATTGTTGATTCACTACACATACATAAATAACTTTAAATACATACTATAAATATAAACACCCATGATGGAGTACAAACATTCGTACTCATCACATAAATGAATGCCCCCAGCGGGACTCAAACCCGCGACCGCTGGCACAGCAAGTAGCGTCACTACAAACTGAGCCAAACGTGTCGTCAACAAAATTGTATTTAGCTTTAATTATTGGAAAAGTCGAGAACATTTTTTAGTTTATTTATTTAATTATTAGGTTTATTTACAATCACTTACAATAATGCACACAATTTTAAAAAGTAGAACTAAAAATTAGGAACTAAATGTAGTGATTACTTACAAATAAACACAGCATGCACAGAAATAGTTTCTTAAAATATTATAGAAAATAGATATATTTTAGAAGTACATAGTTTTTTTTAAATTAATCAATGAGCAGATACACAGTTACATTAATTTAGCAATAATAACATTATTTAAGACTATCAATGCATTTATTTAGGAATTTGGTGCTAATGGTTTTGCGGAAATTGGTTAAGGAATCAGCAAATATGTCGACATCTATGCTATAAGAATTTAGAGTCTTACATAACCGTGGGACTGGGGAATTGGCACCTAGGATCGTTAAATAAGTAAGTATAATTTAAATATAATTAATAATAAAGTATAGGTAGCCGACCCGGTAGGTAGACATCGTTTTGCCACACAAAAGATATAAAAAAACCGGAAGTCGGAAAATTAAAAAGAAAATTTTATAGATTTCGTCAACAACGCCATCTATCGCGTTAAAGTATAGTGAACAATAATCCAAGTTATCCTGCCTGGCTCTTTATGGCCAAAGTATTGATGAGCTTTTAAGTTCTGAGTTTTTGCGTGACTCGAAAATATGTGTGAGAAATAATTTTCAATTTAAAAAGAATTATTATAGCAAAAAACTGAAAAATGTCGAGTATCGAAATTAAACAATTTGAGTATCGAACTTAAATGTGCATATAAGCAATTATTGAAATTTTGATTAGAGATATAGCCTTTATCTATAAGAGGCATGAAATAAATTGTCATTATAATAAATATAATTCATGTCAGACAACAAAAATAAAATGTCAATCACAGTCTTAGTGAAATGTGCTTAAACATAACCGTACATTGGCTTCTAAAATACGATATTTCATAAGCGATTAGATAAACAGCGCTCAAGATATGCCGGCTGACTGACATGTGTAGTTAGGCAATATCTAAATCCTTCAGGGATACCTTCATTTTTATTTTACAAGCATTGTAAGAATTGTATTGTACAATAAATATAAATAAATATGTTGGGACATTAACACACAGCGCCATCTAGTTCCATGGTAAGCTACGAGGCTTGTGTTATGGATACCAGATAGTTGATACACTACTCATATATAACTTTAAATACATATAAACACCCATGACTGGAGTAAAAACATTCGTGCTCATCACACAAATGAATGCCCCCAGGGGGACTCGAACCCGCGACCGCTGGCACAGCAAGTAGGGTCACTACAAACTGAACCAAACGTGTCGTCATGTCTAATGTCAGTATGTAAGTCCGTTAAGAATCTACCGTCGTCGCATCAAATCTAAAAAAAACAAACACCGGATATCTTAATAAGAATATTATATATTTATAACTGGAATCCTAATTATGAGAGCTGTAATTATTATATACTTTGTTTATTTTATTTGCAAATTATTTAGAATATAAATGAAATGAAACATTTTTAATAAATTATCAATATTGGGTGCTTCCATCACAGTTGATAATACAAATATTCTGTAACTTATTTAAAATTTTGCAAAGTTAAAACTCAATTATTTGGAACCTACCTTATTTTAAAAATAATATAAATAAAAAAAACACGTGCACTGTTCAAGAGATCTACACTACTGATGTCGAACTAAAAAGATTTTATATCTGCGACCGGTTTTATCAACGCCAGACTCTCTACATATACAAATATAAATATACAAAAAATGACGGCATCGAATTGTTTATTGGTTATTTTTGTTGAATAATGTAGTATTAATAGAATTATTATATAGGTATTTAGAATTGAGATAGATAAAATCTATACAGATAAATAAAATTGAAGCCAGTTTGTAATGTCAAAATAACAGCTTCTTACTAAATGCATATGGATGTATACACGGTACATATACAAAAAAAATTTTTTTACAATTTTTGTCTGTCTGTCTGTTTGTTCCGGCTAATCTCTGAAATGGCTGGACCGATTTTGACGGGACTTTCACTGGCAGATAGCTGATGTAATAAGGAGTAACTTAGGCTACTTTTAGTTTAGAAAACAATAGGGTCCCACGAAAAAATATTAAAACGAATGAAAAATTTAATAATATCCGATTAAAATGGAGTAATGAACTATTAGTTAATCTGTGAAATAGGGAAGTTGTATGTACGTACGGTACATACCCGGTTGTTGTGACCAAGTTGCACAAGTCGTATTAGTTTGTTAATTTTATAGGATTTTTATATATTTAAGTTAAAAAAAATGATTAAAATTCTTGTAGTTGTAATAAAACTTTGTGATCAGATGAGAGTCATGGGTAGGTAACAGCTAGATTAAGTGCAATAAGTACACTGCGCTCGCAGTCAAAAGTGACACGTATGTTTTAATACATATAATTAATAAATTTAGTTTTATACAGATTTAGATGTGTGGTTAACACAATATCTGTAAAATTCAGACTCGATTATGAGACCATGCAAATTCTGCGAATTCGCACGCACAAGAGCTAACATTACAGAGTGACCATAAGACACTAATTTTTGCTTAAATAAATTTTAGACACGTCGGGAACCAAAAATCTTAATAAATTCACGAAAAATCCGAAAAATTAATTTAAAATTTTGGTTAATTTTAAATAAAATACTATTTTAAGAAAATAACGTTCGCGTTATTTTTAAATTATAAGTAAATATTGTAAATAACATATGATTTTTAAGGGATTATGTTAAATATGAGTGAGCCCACGGTTTAAGTTAGTAAATGAATTTTATTATGAATAGGATTTTCTATTATAATTTTAAATTTTCAATTAAACTTATTAAATCCACGCAATATTTGTGAACAATTGAGATGAGAATCTTTAAGTACATATGACAAGTTTAGAATATTATATTAACGTTCTTTCTATTACGTTATAGCTGAAGGATAATTAAAACTATCGACCTAACCTCGCTTCGCTTGAGTGCGTCTCTATAAATACAGATAAAAATAGTTATTGTGAGTGCACCTTAAGAGATAAAAAGTAACCATATAAACTTCTCGATATTTTTACAATCAGCTTAGCAGTTCTAAAGATTTATTCGGACAAACAGAAAGACAGACAGATAAACATTTTAAAATGGGTTCTTTAGGTAACGGTTTAATATAAATAACTATATGTACATAATAAATAATTATGTAATAGGAAATAAAAAAAAGTGCAATGTCATCTAAGTTTTCATATCCATAGACACTGCAATTTTATTTATATGTATAGATGTAGGTATGTCTACTCTCTAGGTATGTCTACTCTCTATTCAGGGATTGTTCAAACACTAATTATTACATAATTACCTATTTAAGTAAATTTTAAAGAAAACTGATATTAAAAACTAAACGATTTTACCTAAAAACATAACCCAGTATAGCTTTAAAGTTCTATATTTTTGTTTTTTTTAAATCTTAATTGATAAAACTTTTGTTTTGATTTGGCCCCACTTATTTAAAATGGTGTTTTATGAGAGGTAGATAAATCTTGACATGTACAATGTAAATGAAGCTCATTCTTATTCTAATTCATTTGAACTTTTTAATTAAAACCCATTGTTTGTGTCTTACTTAATCATAATTAAATATATTGAATTATTATTCGACACGTCATGGTTAAATCATGACATTAGCTAATAAAAAATATATTATAGATTCAAGAATATTCCCTCAACGACCGCAGACACGCCGGCGCGGAGTTTACAGTTAACAATAAATTTCTTAGAAATTTAATTAATTTCTTAGAAATTTACTTGCAGGTGTTAATATTAGTTTTATTTTACACAATATATTTACAGGCTGTCTCGCACACGTAAATTAATTATGAAAAATACCCCTTTTTGAATTCCTATGTGTAACAGTTAGAAACAACGGTAACTAGCAGCGAGTTATGACAAATGATAGCATTTAAACTTTCTAAATGTAAGACTCATACTAAGGAATAATATAGAGAGTGTCATAGAACGAAACATGAAGCCAAAAAATAGTATTTTAAAACTGTATACAAATATTAATAGATTTTATTACACTGATAATTGAATAAATGTTAGGTAACAATAACAAACAAAAATAGCTAACAGTTTTATTATAATAAAGCAAAATAAATATGGCAGAATCGAAAATATTACACTATTTTTGACATTTAAAATTACTATTTACAACCAAATCAGGATTAGCTAAATATTACTTTTCAGCCTATACATTATTATTTATTATCTTCGTGGAAAAATAACATGTCCAATCGTCCATAGATAGCTCCGTTTGTGTATGAAAAGAGGCAAACTAACGCTCATACTTTGCATTTATTATCAACTGGCTGACCCAAGTTTGTCGTTACCATATTTATAATTTGTTTGTAATTTTTGACTTCATGCAAAGATCCTAAGAAAAAAGCATTTAGAGCTTTTCCCGATCTTTCGGGTATATTTCGGGTCCATTTTTTTTTCTGGCTGAATCATACTCGGACTATTACAAGCATTACTGAGATGCGTGAGTATTTTTATGTAATAAATTAGTCTCCCA